GAGCCTTGAGCTTTGCTATAACAGTAGCGGCGGTTTGTGTGGCTGCAGGCGCCGCTGTGGTCGGCTTCAAAGTGAAACAGCTGAGAACAGAGGAGAACAGTCTGAAGACGGTGAGAGACTTCCTGAGGACTGTCACTGTGCTGGAGAGCGAGCTGGAGGGAATCGTGTGTCTGTGTGAGGACATGCAGAGAGAAGCGGTGGGGGCGGAGACGGGAGATGCCGCCAGGCTGAAGAACAATGTAGTGAACGTCTTTCTCTCTACAGCCAAACTCAGAGCTGCCGGCTGCGTCAGAGACTTCACTGCTCAGTGTCAGAGTCATCGACGAGTTCACCAACACGAGGACGCAGCTGGCTGAGCTCAGAGGAGATGGAGACACAGAGCAAACACAGAGACAGGGACAGTAACCTCTGGTCTGGTCAGAGACACGGTCCTGCTCGCTCTGCAGAGACAAGTCTGCTAATGAGATGTCTGTGATTCAGCTGTGAGGAGACACTGGGGCTGATGGGGTGGGGCTTGTTGTCCCTGTTGTCTGTGAATACATCTTGTCTTAATGTCCACCTTCTGCTCAAACGTCTCTAACTTCTAGGAGGTTTCACTGTGGCTGTGAGTTTCGTTGTAGGTGTGTGTGTTTGGTGGAGTGACATGGTCAGTGTGTGAACTCTGACCAGTAAACACAGTCTGTGATGTGATGGCTGACGTCGGGCTGCGACTCCAAAGTCATTGACCAGAGGCTGGAGCTGTTTTCAGCTGCAGGTCAAACACTGCATCGATGCATCAGCTGTTATAACCCAGTGATGTAATGTACAGCGATATAACACTCTGCCTTATGAGGACCTGAACTGAGGACACTTCCACTAACTAATGGTTTCCAGTGTGTTCTACTTCATGGTTTCACTGCTTTTGCTGAAGGAAACAGTCTGTCCTTCCATCAGTGAACAGACAGAGCAGCAGCTCTGAACAGACTTTATGAGAAGGAGGGGCCACAGTTACAGGAGCTGCTGCTGCTGCTGCACAGGGATTAGTTACAGCTCAGTTCACTGGACGCTTTGGCTTCCCAGTAACAGCACCAGTAGCAACCTCTGTTCTGGGAATCAGTGCTGCTGGGTTCAGTGCAGAACAGAAACGACTAATAAACAGCAACAATAATAATACTTTATTTATATAGCACTTTACAACTCGAAAGGAGCACAAAGTGCTTCACAGCAGGACATATGTACTCTAATAACAAAGAGTTAAAAACACACACACTAAAAACAACCTGAAATCAATTAAAACACAGACTTTAAAAACACAGGGGAAACTCCATATTGAAGTATAAATAGCATAGAACAGGTTAAAAATGTCTCCGTGGAACAAGTTAAGTCACGAAGGCCTGCCTAAAGAGATGAGTTTTTGGAGGTACTTTAAAATAGGCCAGGTCAGTTATGGACCATAGCTCTGGTGGTAGAGAGTTCCAGAGCTTGGGGCAATACACGGAAAAAGAGCGATCGCCCCATTTTTTGTATCGAGATCGCGGGACAGCCAAAGATAGATGCTCTCCTCCTCTTCATTTTAATTAGGTTCTTATGAATAACTCCTCTTGAGTTGGTTTGTGGTTTATATAATTTAGGGGGTGGGGGCAGACACAGTCTCTATGGGGTACTGGGAGTTTTGGGTGAGGAACAGCTGCATATAAATGCGTTAACAGGTAAAACACGGTGGAAGCATTTTGTGCGCACGTCTCACACTGCAGATAGAAATCCATGATACTAGAAGAGTCCATCCACACTGAGCCCGTGAGACGCACGTC